GTTAATGGAGGGGGGGGGGAATGAGGACACATTTGTAATACCTTAACTAAAAAAAAAAGGAACCACGAGATAAAGGCAGAATTCTACAGATGTGTGATTAAAATTAAATTAATCATCTTTGTTCTCATTAAGCATATTATTTTGCCAAGTCATTAAATATATTCAAATGATAGAGGAGAGCTTGCCACATACTCCAGAGGCACCAGGAGCCCCGTAGGCTTTGGATCAGGAGGAGGAGAACAAATCTGCACCATGAACTTGTGGCTCCTGGCCTGCCTAATGACCTGCTTCATAGGCACCTGGGCCCCTGCTGTCCAAGCTCAAGGTGTCTTTGAGGACTGCTGCCTGGCTTACCATCCCTACATCAAGCTGACTGTGCTCCAGCGGGCCCATAGTTACCATCACCAGGATGTGAGTGGGAGCTGTAACCTACCCGCTGTGATATTCCACTTCCCTCGCAGATATAAGATGGTGTGTGGGAACCCAAAGGCCAAGTGGATACAAAATGGGATGAGGTTACTGAATCATCGGAAAAAGCATCACCAAGCACCTCGGGAAACTTCCAAGGCTCTCACACTATTGGGCAGAAGCTGAGCTCTGGAACCTACAGGGTTCCACACTCCTTGTTTAGAGGTGGCATCGGAAGCAGCAAGAGGAATGCCTCCCTCCCAACAATAGCTAAGCCAGGACTGTGAGACTGCACATCTCCAGGATCAATCAACTCAAGATGGGCTGGAGTTTCTCCACCGTGACTGTTGCTTTGCAGCCCCCAATTGCTCTATCCTTCAAGCTAACTCTCCAAGCCTGTACCCACGTCTGCATTGGTCTCTCACCCCGCCACGTCCTGCTCCTTAGGCAGCTGTAAGGAGGGAGCCCTTTGTTTTCTTTGAGATCCAGAGCCAGCCCTGGCCAACGGTTCTGATGGACAATCATCAAGGATCACCACCCATTTGCAGTCTTTTGTCACCTACTCTGGGGCCACACCTGCCTATGTCCCTCTGGGCCCTTGCAAAGCTCTAGTCCATCCATGGACACCCCTCTTGAGCTGTGCTTTTAAAAATAAACCTTTTAAAAATATATTCAAATGATAATGATATTGTGTTGGATTAAGGGGATTTGACTCCTAACCTCATTTCTTTGTCTCCCGAGGACCGCAGCTGGAGAGTTTATTGAGTAGAGGATCAAGCATCTTATTAAAGAACTTTCCCTGCAAAGGGGAACCAAAGGATACAAACTGAAAATGAAAAGAAAATCTGCTTTGTTTTCCCTAACTTGCTGTTGATCCAGACAGATGTTTGCCTGCAGGTGATGTGAATTGAATCTACTAAAACAGAAGACTAGCACTGAGGGCACTGTCTCTCTTTCTTCCTCGATACCTTTCACCTGGGACACTTTGCTTTATCAAAGACACGGGAGCAATACTGATAACAGTATTGGCTGCATCCACCTGCATTCCTTTCTTCCAGAGATGATCCTGGCTTCCCTTCTTCACTTGCATCTGGACCACTAGATGCCCAGCGCTGTGGTGCTGCTGAAGGCCCGCCAGCCCTCCCTGCTCCTCTCCGCTGACACTAACGGGTGAGCTGTCCACATTGTGGATGCAGCTACAGTCCAGCTTCCCCTCCAGCTGCCTCCGACTTAGGGAGCCTAGAAGCACCTCTGAAACGGTAGCACTTCTTTGTCTCCAGAGATAGCATTCACTCAGAATAAAGCACCTCTGCTTGGCATCAGAAAGAGCACGGCCTTGGGTCTCTGACGGCATTTGTTTGCTTATTTTTTGGAGGCAACAGATCAAAAGCTCACATAGGCATCTTTTTTAGGGAATATATTTCCTCAATAAGTAATGCTTTTTTAAGTAATGTGTTACTGAGGAAACTTAATTTTTTTTTTTTATTGACTCTAGAGAGGCAGGGGGAGGGAGGAAGAGATTGAAACATCAATGATGAAAGAGGATCATTGATTGGCTGCCTTTGAGTAGTAGTCTAAAAAACAACTTCTAATGTTCAGTACGGTGTATAGTTTCATGTATTGATGAGATAGTATTGAAAGCCGTTAAAGCCAGTTGTTGTCTTCCAAGAATAGTTTCCATACCTTTGAAACATCATTGAACGTCGATACATCATCATTATTTTTGGCCTTTGAAATTGTCTTTATTTCTGAAAATTCCTTTACAACCACCCACCCCAGGATTAACAAACACAGATGCACCTCAAGCCTAAATACTCACCCCTCCCCAAGCAAATCAGATTCATGTTTCTGATTGTAGGACACTTTGTTTTTAGATCCCATGAACTCCCCAATCTTTGTCCCTGCAACCCTGTACCCAGGCTAGGTCCGTCCCTTTCCCCGTTCACACTGAGCATGAACCTGAAACGTGAGTGGCCCCGCATACTGCACCCCAGCCCGAGGTTTCAGGTTCCAGGGGCCCAGAAGGAAGCCCTTGTTAGGTGCACCTGGTGAGCAGGGTCACTACAGGGGCACATCACGGTCTCCATGTTGTCGTGTGTGTTTCCTTCCACGTCCTGCGTGGATTAGGGTTCGGGATCTGAAAAGAGGAGCTGCACACAAATGTGAGACAAATGACACGAGATAATTTGGAAATATTGGGGGACCAGACGGGCAAGCCAGAAGGACTTCCACTGATGCTCAGGCTCTCCAAACTTTTATTGATCTGGAGTAGCCTTAGGTAAGGAGATTTCAATGACACACAGAGTAGCTCATCAGCAGAGAATTATTGTTAATCAACAATAATCAACAAGGATTTACATAGGTATCTAAGGAATTTAGTGAACTAAGGTGGGGATGATGCTTCAGCTACCATCATCTAGATTAACTGGGTGGTGCACAGCCCTGACCTTTGCTAGGGCTTCAAAGGTCACTAACTTTTGGGGGTCTCCTCTATGCTCAGCTAGTGAAGACAATAAATAGTCTCCGGCACCATGTCCTGAAAATGCCACGTCATAAACCTCCCAAGAGCTATAGTACTTGGTGACAAGACGGATGGTCCTGGGTTGTCCTAACTCCCTCAGTGTCCCCGTGAGCTCCGCCCGGATCAGGGCAACTCTCTCCTGGTCCACAGTCCCTTGGGTCCTGTAACACTCCAGGGGGACGGGGTACAGCTCGCGCTCTAAACTGCGCAGCCCGGCTGTGTGGCGCAGCAGCTTCTCCACGGTGGCCACGGAGAAGTGGTTCTCAGAGATGGTGAAGTCCCTGAGCTGGTGGCAGCGGCTCAGGACAGGCAGGATGGCCTCGACTTGGGAGGCCGCCATCCCACAGTTATCCAGGCGCAGGTCCTGGAGGGTGGGTGCCACTGCCTCCAGCAGAGCTCCGAGGGGTTCGGGACTAAAACTGGCGAGGTTGGCACCATACAGATGCAGGGACTTCAGCTGCCTGAGGTTCGGGCACTGGAACAGGTGTGTCAGGTCTGAATGTGTCAGCTGCGAGCAAAACCATATGGAGAGTTTGTCCAAGGGGGTCTGCAGGCACCTGAGCATCTGGTCCAGACGGCCTCGGAGGAAGGAGGGAGATTCCAAGTAGAGCTTCTTGAGGTGCCGCAGCCTGAGCATCTGAGAGAGGAATTGGGAAAAGGATCGCTGCTCCTCCTGCTCCTGCCTTTCCCATTCCTCTTCCTCCTCCCACTCCTGCTCCTCTTCCTCCCTCTCCCACAAATATTCCTCCTCCACAGCCTGCTTCTTTTTCTTCTGTTCCTCTTCCTCTTCCTCCTCCTCCTCCATTTCCTCCTCCTCCTCCTCCTCCTGTTCGTCCTCCTCCTCAGCTAACACCTTGATGTGGCAGAGAGCGAGACTCTGCAGGTTACTCATCTGACCCAGGTAGAGAGCAAATGTCCCCAGGGTGGGCAGGTCCCAGGTGCAGTTCACTTCCACCTCCTGGATGCAGTCCAGCTGCACCCCATCCAGGACACTCCTGACCCTCTGGAAGGGCACCTCATAAATCCTCAGCACCTTGCAGCACAGGTGTACCAACCCTTCCTTCTGCTGGGCCCATTGGATGATGTACATGAAACACTTAACCCGGTCCCTTTCACTGAAGTTAAGGTCTAGGAACACCTCCAAGGGAGCCAAGGAGTGCTCCATGTTGGGGCTGGAGCTCTGCACAGCCACTGGTCCCATCGGTGAGCAATTCCGGGTGCTGTCTCCACACCACATTCTCCAGAAGTTGGCACCCGTGTTCCTTAAATCCAGCACCCGCAGTTTCCACCTCCGGGGGCAAACCTGTTGGTCAATCAGAAAGTCAAGCCCCTCAAACACCGCTTGTAAGACCATGACCGGAGGCATCCTCATCAGGCTCCCCAGAGGGAGGACAGGGAAGGGCCAGGCTTGCACCATCGCCTTCAGGGGCTCCGGTATTCTCTTACGGCAGGCCTGAATGAACAGCGGTGGGAAGAGCTTAGCAGGCAGGTACTCCAGAGCTGAGATGGCTGAGGCCTGGTCCTTCAGCAAGCTCTCTCCTGCCAGCCACAGGAGTTTGGGTGGAGTCCTGGTACTCATCTTCAAGGTGCTCAGAAAGGAATCCTGCAGAAACTTCTGATCTGACTGTGTTGGCTGGGGCTCAGATCTCAGACCTGTTGGAGAACTAAGGCACTGACTGCAGAGCTGGAGCACTCTGAATGTCTTCTCTGGTGCCTGAGGATTTTATACACCTTCTCAAATGTTAACATCCAATCAGAACCCTGAGTCTCCATCCCTTAATGTTATTGGGATTATTTCCTCTCTGCAGATTAACGGATTGAGAGAAAGTTAGGGAGGGGCAAGGTTGAGGCCTGGCTCATTGATTCATTCCACAGACATTGACTGAGGTTGACTTTTGGTCCCCAGTTGTTGTCCTCGGAGTTAGACAGTGACGGTGTAATGGGTACCTGATGTTAAATAGGAAAAAACACAACCTGAGAGCATGGTGGCTGGGGGTCATTGGCCACATTAGAGTAATCCAAATGTATCCACAGTTAAAACAGCCACTGCCCACAGCTGACACCCTTTGGTGTCATCTACAAAGAAAACAAATGAAATCTGTCCATGCACCAAGTGAGGTTTTATGTCAGATGACAGCGCAGATCATGAGCTCCACAGGGATCAAGGGGTGGGCAATTGAGCATGTGAGTGGCCCTTCATACCCCAAGGCTTGTGTAAGGGAGGTCAGGTAAGAATCACCATGAAAGCCCTGGCAGTTTGGCTCAGACCTGTGAATGACCAGGGCCAAGTAAAAGATGGGTGTTTTTTCTTGGAAAGAAGAGAGATGGAAAGACTCTTCTCTGGCTAAATTTAAAATTTAAAAGGAGACCAGCTGGAGGAGAGACAGTGCCATCCTAGAGGGCAAAGGGAGAGACTGCATCTTCTGTCCCTCAAAGGGTGGGTCTCCTCTGGGAGAGATGGGATTTGCTGGGGATTTTATAGGTTTTAGCACTAAAAGGCCTAGGAATCCCCTCCGTCCCAGGTTGGAACAAGTATTTCCCTTGTACCTTTCATAAACAAGATCACCTCCTGCCAGGGAAAGACTTTCCTTTTCACCAGCATAAGACTCTCAAAAAGACATAATACACCCAGCCAACCTTAGCAATCAACAGGGTGACAGATGTTTCAGCCAGATTGCCCTCACAGCTTGAATATTTATGAAACATTCACAATAAGAGCAGGAAAGAGAACAGAAAAATTTAATAAATCCTTCTGAAGCCTCAAGGTTTTTTGGTTTGTTTTTTTATGTTATTCCTCACTGGAAGATATTTTCCCCCATTGATTTTTAGAGAGAGAGAAAGGGAGGGAGAGAGACAGAGAGAGAAATATAGATGTGAAAAGGACACATCAATTGCTCTTCCCCTCCCATACACACTCCAGGGCCTTAGATCGAGCCTACAACCCAAGGTACGTGCCCTTGACTGTAATTGAACCCGAAACCCTTCAGTTGGTTTCTTAGTGGTTAGGAGGGCCAACGCTCTAACCATTGAGCAACCGGCTAGGGCTGAAGCTTCAGGTTTAAAGACCAAAACCAAAAGAATTAGAGGTGAGGGGAGGAAGAGTTTATTAGGTTCCTGACTCCTGGTCTGTTCTTGAAAATCAAGGACTGCTTCCCACACTTTCCTCCCAGCTTCTGCTCCTACATCAGATCTGATATAAACCGTTGTCCAGTTTAATCACTTTCTGAATCTTCTTCAAGGCACTCGGGCAAGGCACTCTTTGGGAAATGTGGAGTTATTCCACAGACTATATGTTTCTCAGGTTGCTTATAGCATCTGCACAGTATAGTTGATCTAATTTTGAAATAGATGGAGACTTCTTAAAACATCCTTTACGACTCAGACAGGAGATTTGTCCGGTTTGTTTGGTGAACGTGTGGATGAGAAGGGCGATTGTCAGAGGAGCTGGTCTGTCCCGCCGACCCACGATCGGCGGCAGAGCTGCTGCATGAAAATCTGCTGTGTCTTTTTTAAGTGCTGTTTAAGGTGCAAGAGGAGAACTTTAGTTCTTTGTAGTGGAGTAGGGATTTTTTCCTTATGTTAGGTGTCTCATTGTCTATCTAAATAAAGAGGGGAACCTCAGGGTTCCTGCTACAGGGGGCCAAGCATGTTTATTTTCACTTCTCTGTATCCTAAGTGGGGTACCTCTTTCAGCGATAGGCATTAATGAGAGTCATTAAAATTTATATCAGTTTCTTTTGTTCTTCGAAGAAAAATCCTCTAGGGCACAGGGGATTGAGTTAGCCATCAACCCTGGTTCAGAAGTAGCCACTGAGAGTGGAAGCCGGAATTTCCCCTGAGTGACCAGTGTAATCCAGCGGCTGCTTTCTGGCTGTCACTTGGTGCACCATCATGCAGATTTTTAAGGCATTTTGACAAAAATACAGGAATTATAAGGTAGTTTCTAGGGCAAGTAGCCTAGGATTCTTCAGGCCTTATTATGTGAATAAATACTATGAGGTTTTTTGCCCCACACCCAGTCTAATTATTATGAACTAAATAAGTAAAGAATGAATGAATGAATACCCCACTCTATCATAAGGCAAGAAAACTAACAGAATGAACGTGCAAGAGAGACAGGGTTTTCCTTTGAAAATTATGAAGTAAATATATCTGCATCACTTCGCATTTACGTGCATTATTTTGAGCCAGTTTTCATACAATCAATCAAGCCTTTAAATGCTCTGCTGTTAACTATTTTCATTCAAAATATAATCATACTGTTTACTCCCACATTTCTTTTATCAAAACATTTTAAAAATTTTATATCTAAAGACTCCCTTTGTTTCTTAAAAACAAAACAGCATGGTGGTGGTAAATAAACTCAGTTAGGCAGTTGAAAAATGTTCCTGTTTTGCCTGCGGAAGAGATTTGGCTCCTCAGTGATGCAAAGAGGATTAGATATGTAGACTCAATGAATATTAATTCATGCTTTCAACTATTGTATTGAGTGCCTTTCATATGCCCTCTTCTGGGTTGGGGGTCAGGGATACTAGGGGAACAACACACTGTCTCTGGCCTTAAAAATAATGAGCACAGTGTGGAGTCTGCTTACATTAGCTTGCAAGAGCTAACTGTTAAATTTTCAGGAAATCTATTAGCTGGCTGTTAACAATAAACATTATTAAAAATTAAATTATATAAACATACATTTAAATAAATGATTTAAAAAACTAAGGTATTAGAGCCCTAGCTGGTTTGGCTCTGTGGATAGTGTTGGCCTGTGGACTGAAGGGTCCCAGGTTCGATTCCAGTCAAGGGCACATGCCTGGGTTGTGGGCTCTATCCCTAATAGGGGGCATGCAGGAGTCAGCCAATCAATAATTCTCTCTCATCATTGATGTTTCTAGTTTTCTCTCCCTCCCTCTCTGAAATCAATAAAACTATATTAAAAAAAATAAAATTAAGGTAATAGATACTTAAAACTCACCACTTCCTCATTGCTACATTTTACTATTACCTGTTGTTTCTGAGGTTATTTACATCTGTATGTACCATCCTATCTTTTCCTGTCCTATCCTATAAAGTATAAT